CCCCCCCCCCCGAAAACCTGACACATGATGTCACATTGTGGATTATGGAAGTCTGGATTCGGGATTCTGGAAACCCCGGGAACAACTATTTTGGCCCAATTGAGTGTTAGAAACTCTGGAACTCAGGAACTTGGTGAAATGGTGAATTTCAGAATTGGTGAATGGTGATGGACTGATGATGGGTCTGGTTATTGTGGTATGTAGGTTTCCTGCTTTTGAGATCCCTGGGGTCTGGCCCCTGATTTCGGGTGCGACGGTCAGTCAGTGGGGCCGAGAGCATTTTTTTATACGATATATTTTAAAGGATTATCATTAGGTATTATGTACAATGTTTTGTGTACATCTAACATTGGTCTTGAAAGTTGAAAGTCTTTTTCTGGAAGGACACTAAAATAAATAAAGAGTGTGCTTTTGTGGTAGAAAAACAACAACAACCGGTTTCCACTCAACACAACACAAGAAGAAGAGAGAGAGAGACATTATTTATGTAAATATTTACTGTATCAATAAGTAAAACTGAAAAAAGCCTGTTTTTTTGGGTCCTATCAGTGTTTATCTTCCAAAAAATTCCAATGTATTGTTACATCGTGACATTTTGATAAAAAAATACTAAAATAGAAGGCTATGTAAAGATTATTTTATCATATTGTTCTATGACATCTATGTAAATATATATAGTTCATATTTTATACCACATATGATACCACAAAAGAATTAATATCTGTAAATACCATGTAACATCGTGTGAATCACATGAAAGGCTCTGAGCCGAAATCTCAAAGGTTTACATTAGATTACACAAGCGTTAGGCACCGGCCATTGGATTTGGGTACCAAACCAAGCGGAAAGCAGAAGGCCGGAAGGCGGCAAGGGCAAGAAAATTTGAGCGATTGTGGAGTGGTATAGTGGCAGTGGCGTGTATTAGCCAAATATTGATTTCAAGTTTCCTCCGGCCAAACAAACTGGTAATCGGCTTCTAAGAACAGTATAAAAGCCCAGCATATACTAACTACATACCACATATCCGCTACTGCACTATTATTATCCGCCAAATATATTTCAGAATGAAGGCCTCACTTTTCTCTCTTCCCGCGCTCCTCGCAACAATAGCTTTCTGTCTACTATTTGTAGGGTAAGTAACTTTTGATTGACGTGTTGCTTGAGATTCTAAAGACCCTCGTATGCCTGTCGAACACCACCTTAAGTTGCTCGCTGATTTTGGTTTCGATTTTTTTTTAAATTTGCAGGGCGTGTACTCGTGTCTGGATAGGTGTTGACAGTAACTTGACGCCCGGAGTCGTCGACAATGGCACAAACAACACATCGGGTACCCCTGGCTATGTTTACCCCTCCCACTTCGGACTTTGGACTGGTTGCTACGAATACACGTCCACCGGAGAGCAGTTCGGATGTGCATACATTACCGCTTCATGCAGTAAGTTTGTTTTAATTGATGTATATGAGTAATCTGATAATATATGAAAGATTGTACGGTTTTAAAGTGCACATGGGATATGGTGAGCGTATGCATAACTGTCTCCGTTGTATGTGAACAATATGGGCGCTTTCACAGTGTAAACATCATTCATAATTTTTTTATAAAGTAATAGTTTTGCGCGGAGTACCATCGATCGTCGAATATTGCAGCATGTGCATATAGAATCTTTCAGAGCTATGTATACAGAATTTATGTGACGCCCGTATACTGTTAAAATGACAGAATCTTATAGAAGTTATTCAATCTTCCTTACTTGCAGACGTGCAACGTTAACGGTAACATTTCTATTGTGCTACACAGACACAAACTTATGCTATTTTGTCGGCGATGAATTGTACTGCGCAGCGACGAGATATGGAGCAATCGACAAGTAAGTTTTGACCTCAGTGTATGTTTGACGTGCCACCAGCAATACGGTGTTGCCATGTGAGGGACTATTTTATATACACGTGTACTCACCCGCTTTCCTCTTCGCCCCTACAGCTGTGCTGCATTTATCTCGGCCCGTTCATTTATGGTTATTGCGATGATTTTCCTGTGTTCGGCCATGGTTATGTTGTTGTCTGGCCTTAAGTACTCCGCTGCGGACAAAATGTCTGTAGGCTTCTTATGGACAACCGTGGTATTCGAGTCAATTACAATGGGCTGTATCATTGGCGGGGTTTACCACGGTACTGGAGAAGGACCAGCTACCACCTACACTGTTCAAGACAACTTCCATCTCGATTGGAGCTTCATTTGCTTTGGTGTAGCGTTCGGCCTCACATTTTTGGCAGCCATTGCGGCCACCGGATTCGTAGCCGTAGCACCTAAAGACGAGGTCCATTTTGATACACCCTGCCCTAATGAAAAACCTCTAGATGTGTAAAGTTTGAAACTAGTAAATATTAATAAATACAAATATAATATAAAGATAAATGACGGTGTGTGTTCTCATTTCGATCGCAAGGTGTGAGTATGAAACACTGAACTGGCGGAGGCATTGCTATAACCATCTGTGAGCTCTCAACGTATTTTCCACACCCACAGCAACATCGAAATTGAAACGCACTCAAATCTTTGTTTTGCGGGTATTACGGTTTAAGCAACTGCTCCGTTCCAGGCAGACATGTGAGTTTGATTGAAACTAATGTCTGCTTTTAAATTGAGCATGGGCTTTATCTTCAAATGCTGGTGCTGATATCTCAATCCGTCGCTTTTTTAAACGAGAACCTAAAGGTCGTCCACCATATCTCACTAGAATTTTGAGTGAAGGTTGAAAATCTGTGAAGTACCAGATTGGGTTTGTTCATGTGTAAGTGTCCCAGATAGTGTGTATGTATACTTAAAAGGCGCGCGATTGGTGTACTCAGATCATAAACGATAAGATTTGTATATGATCGGCCAAAATACAGTAGAAATAGGTATTTGCTTTTCCAATAACCATTTGCAACTAGTGCTGCATATCATAGTAGATCGTCTCTAAGTAGATATATTGTCCAGTGGCAGGCGACGCGCGAGAACGCAATCATGAAAAATTTCGAGACTTTTACACGCTACATTTGAATGCACAAAAAGCCAATGGAATTGAGGGAATAAATATGTATTGCAAAAAGTAGGATGGCCAGTTTTTATTATAAGGAAACTTCGATTTACGGTTTATATATACTGCCACCCGCGTGACCTCTACTTCTGCGCCTTCTGGACTTCGTTTGGCTCATGCCTGATATACTATTGCGAGGAGATTGTCCAGAATCTATAAAGGGAAAAAATACATCATAGATTAGTGAACGACTCGAGTATGAAATGAACATAACATATGCATGACCACCTCAGCTCTGAGTAAATCGAAGCTTCACAGTAGTGAAGAATCAATAGATCGCGCACTCAATCTAGCGTGGCCTGAAAAATAATATATATAGCTAGTATTCAAATGTCTATGCAAGTGATTGGCGACTTACAACACAAACTGCACGACTCGTGCGTACATCAGCACTAATAACGCCTTCGCTTTGGAATTATCAATCAAATCGCCAAATACCCTCAACTAGCAATCGTCAACTTTGCATCTCTGCAGCAGTTAAGTTCATGCCATGAACAAGATACAGGGCGTTTGAAAGCAATCGATACAAACAGGGTAGCTTAAAATCGCACACCAATATATATTGCACACACTCACCTGAACCGTTCAACAAGGCTGTATTCTCCGTAGCCGAGGTGACGTAGCCAAGGCTTTCCAGTCCATTTGCAATACCCGCTTCTTCATCGCTTTCCCTTTCGTATTGATCCTCATCGTCGTCCTCATCGTCATGTTCCATATTGCCAGATCGTGGGGCGAATCTGAGTATTACCATCAGTAAACACACCACGTAGGTGCACACAAAGTACATTCTACCCCCGGCGGCCGTTCCTACCGCAGCACTGAGCCATACCGACGCGGCTGTTGTGAGACCATGGACCTGCCGAGTGCAGTGTTTTATTCGATGTGTAATGTGAGTATATTAATCATGTAGATGTGCAATGTGTCTATATTTAATCATGTAGATGTGATATGTCTTCATAGATGCACAGAAGGCAGCTACAATAGCACTCACATCTAGCATGAGAAACATGACAAAACACACAACCCCCCCCCTAATATAATGCACACATGGTGAGGGGGACCCACATATCATGTACCTGTGGCGAGCTACCATCCAGACTGCTGCCCTTCCAAATAAGTCCGGCACCCAGAAAACCTACACCGCTAGGGATGGCCGCAGACACACGCGACGCATCCCACGCCATAGGACCAGTGGTGAAGGCAAACATCGAGCACAACGTAAAACAACACGAGCCTAAACTTGTCAGGGACATCGTCCTGATACCGGCGGCACGTTCCGGAGACCTGTGAGAGTGAATTCGAGATTTTGAGAGAACAGTTTCAAAATCCATTTAGAAAATGACAACGGCTCTAGTTGATTGCGTCGATAAACCAGAAACGAAACAGATAGTACTCAATGTCCACGCAGCGTCGCTTATCTAATTTTAATGAAAAACGGACATTCACAAGTATAAAGGAGAAATCAAGAAGTTGTTGTTGATACTCGGCAGTCTCTGGTAGACGCCCCTGCACGTAAACGATTAGCACTGACTTATCGCAAAGGGAAATGAAATACCTTGGCTATACCCGCATAAAAACACAATACAGGATATTTGTTCATCTGCATGCCTCTACCTCCACCCACATACCTCCTTTCGTAACCGATGAGCATTCCGAATACCACGGCGAAAAACATTCTGCGACCAAAGTCGCATTCACGCAAGGTCATACCCATCAATTCTTCATATCGGATATCTAAACATAAATCTGTAAGAAATAAACTAAACTATTTAGAGACCGTTCGGACATGGTTTAGAACTGTAATCAATAAACTTCCAAGGGTGCCAAACTTAGAACAGTGCAATCACCGCTACTTTCCCAGAAAGCAATAAGAAATAAAGAAATACGGTGTATGGTTGAATAGGCACTATAACACACGGTCTAAGATTCAATCCCGTGTCTAGGATGGAGAAGGTATCCAGCCGGGATGTTCGCAGACCGCTCAGATATGGAAGTTTTACCAGTATTAAAAACTATTGAAATCTCAAAATACACCCACACCCACAACCACACCCCAAACACACATATACATATACATACACACACACACATATATATATATATATATATATAAATATATATATATATATATATATAATATATATATATATATAATATATATATAGTATATAATAACATACATACATA